CTATACGGGGTTTAGGGTTCAGGGGTTTGGTGTCCTATAATGGTACTATATGGTTTCGAGTTGTATAAAGGTACTATAGGGTTTAGGGTTCCAAAAAGGGTTCTACAAAGTTCCTATGAAGGTACTGCAGGGTTTAGGGATCCTTTCAGGGTTCTATACCGGTACTATAGGGTTAGGGTTCACGGTTTCGGGTTTGAGAGGTAGGGCAACGGGTTGCATTTGGGGTTTACGGGTTAGGGTCGAGAGTTGTTACAGGGTGTACCAAGACTTGTAGGTTGGCTTCAAGCAGATTTATGGTCTAACACTCCTGATTTTGATGCACTCTTCTAATCATGAAGACCCTCAACCCTAAACCCTAAACCTTAAACCCTTAAAGTAGAGGCCGAGCTGTCGGATGCCTGGCCGCACCTCTGCCGCAACAAAGTTTGTCACAATCTGGGTCCGAAGTTCCAAAACCCCAAAGCTACCTTCCTATGTAAACTTTAAATCTTAAGCCCGAAACCCCAAAGCCCAAACCCTAAACCCCAAGCCCTAAACCCTAAACCCTAAACCCTAAAGCCTAAAGCCTAAGCCCCTGAAGCCATGAGCCTTGGGAGGTGTTCTTGCCTCCATTGCTGCTTGTGGCCTCCTGGTGTTTATAGAGGTTTAGTGTTCAGGGTTCAGGGTTTAGGGTTAAGGTAAGTTGGTTTAGAAAGTCTTCCACGTTTCGCGGCTGAGGTTTGAGGGGTTGGGATTTGAGGTTTCATAGAGGTGAGGGTGGGCGTATATAGGGCTGCTGGGGAATACTGGTAGCCGCCTGGGCCGTTCTGCGATCAAGACGGAACCTATGTCAGGTATTTTCCCTCAGCCATCTAGCCGAATTGCAGTGGCCAAACTTTCTCGTGGCCCTCAACACTCATCCACAAGCCTTATAGCCCTCTGAACCTTAAGCTTTCAACCCTAAACCCTCAACCCTAAATCCTGAACCCTAAACCCTAAACCCTAAACCCCAAACCCTAAACCCTGAACCCTGAACCCTAAAACCCCAAAGCCCCCCAAACCCGGAGGCGTCTGAGCCTTAAACTTGAGAACCACATGCTCCAAGCTTTGGGTGCTTTGTTAAGGGTTTAGGGTTTAGGGTTCAGGGTTAAGGGTTTAGGGTTCAGGGTTTAGGGTTTAGGGTTTAGGGTTCAGGGTTTAGGGTTTAGGAGTCTGTGGAGTTTGATGTGTTTTTGGTTTCGTCGGGCTTTCTAGGCGTTGTAAAATGCGGGCTTAACAGGCTAAGGTTTCGTGGGGAGGGGGGGGAGATCGGATCCTTAAGCTACTTGAGCGGTGTATGCCTTGAAGTTAACAGGTTTTTGATTTGAGGTATACCTAAACACCAAAAGTATGTAGAATAATGGCCTTTTTTGTGTGCTGGGCCATAATTTTACTTACTCTTGAGGGTTTAGATATTCCTTTGACTAACGGATTTGGAGTCCCCAGTACTTGCAAAGCGTGATGCAGTCATTGCAAAACCCGATGAAGCCCTTCTCAAGCCCCCGTTTCAACCCCTCGGACAACCCTTAAGCACCATACACTGCCGCTATAAAAACCCATATAGAACCCGCTACTAAACCCTAAACCCTAAACCCTAAACCCTAAACCCTAAACCCCAACACCCTGGAGCCCTAAACCGCTAAGCCATGCTCACGTCAGGTCAGTGCATTGCAGATGGTGTCTTTCGCCTTCGGCCCCGCCATCCCATGGAAGGACCGCGCCCTAAGCCGCAACGTCAGGGTCTATAGGGTTTACGTTTTAGGTTTAGGGTTCAGGGTCCGGGGGTTTAGGGCTTAGATGGTGATGTTCAGGGTTTGGGGTTGTGGGTTCAGAGTTTAGGGTTCATTAAGGTGTAGGGTTCATAGTTGAGGGCTTGTTGTTCGAGTGCACAGATTTGCTGAAGAACACCTGAAACTCCCTGCAACCCTGGACCTTGAACTGCATACTAGGATGTTCTGCAAATAAACTCTCAGTGAATATTAAGATTGGGTTTTGAAAGTGGAGAGTTTCCTTCAACCCAAGTACCGAAGTCTTGCAACCTACAGGGACCTTGCTTGAGCCGAAGTTATACCTTGAGCTCTGAAGACGGTTTCTGATTCTTCATCCCTCTATCCAACAGGGTTTGTGGTTCCTTATAGGACGGAGGGCTTTCACGCTGGAAGTAAGGTATGTGGTGTAGACCAGAATTGCCAAGACTTCAGTAATGCACGCTCCTGTGTGCCAACCCTAGGAAGAAGTCCTATACGGTGCCCCCGGAGAACCCAGTACCCTTAATTAAAGAATATACCTTAAATCAAAATATTGAGGCCCCTATAGTTTAAGGTATATTCCTGATTTAAGGGGTATTGGGTTCTCTGGGCCCAAAAGATTCAAACTCGAGTCCTACACAAGTCCCCGAGCATGGAGCCTAAGCCCTGAGCCGTAAACCCTGAGCTCTAATCCCCAGACTCGAAATAGACAGCCTGAAGCACTATTGAACCTCTTAAGCTTATGAAGCCCTAAAGCCTAAGCCCTAAATCCTAAACCCCTAAGCCCCTAAATCCGAAACCCCTAAACCCTGTTTAGCAACCCTCACCTTGCAGTCAAAGTCTTTCCGCGCAGGAGACTGTGAAGCAGCCCGCCGTGGTAACTCATCAGGTGATGATGCCGGGATCCTGGCCTAAGGGTCCTGTAGATAGGTTTAGGCTTTAGGGTTTAGGGTTTAGGGTTCAGGGTTTAGATAGACAGATAGACAGATAGATAGATCGGTAGATAGATAAATGGAGTACGTAAACATGTGCACACATACACGCTCCATACATATATACGTATATATGTACGTATATATATATATATATGCATACATATATATATATATATATTTATACACATGTGACTATTTGTGTGTATATATATATATATATGTACCTCTCTCTTTCTCTCTCTCTCTCTCTATATATATATATATATATTCACATACGTACATACACATCTTCATGTACACGCACACACTAAGGTTCTTTCAGGGTCCTAGCGGGTTCTCTCGGCTTCAGGGCTTTAGAGTTTAGGGCTCGTGGGAAAGAGCCTTTAGGGTTTTAAGCTTGGGGGCTTCGGGGAAACCCTGGGTTTAGGGTTTAGGGTTGAGGGTTTACGGTTTAGGGTTTAGGGTTTAGGGATCTAAACTATGGAGACCCTAAACGCCCTCACACAGGTGGTTGCAGGTTCTGCGATTTTCACTTTTCTGGTTGACCCTACCCCAAACCCAAGACCATCCTTAACCCTAAACCCCAAAGCCGAAGCAACACTGTCACATAGCTCGTCGTGCATCCCTGCATCCCCCGCCAAAAGCCGTGAAGCAGCTGGGCTGGGTTGCATCAAGGAGCGCCTACTGGGCTCTGTGCTCGCCATGCAGCTGCTATTGCTATCTGCAGTGTCGTCCACATGGGGCTTCGTGCTCTCTGCTAGAGGGCATCTACATTGGTGCTTTGAGGTGGTTACAGAGTACGAGAACACCCCTCAAATGCAGCTGTAGTGTTGCAGACCCAGATTGCAACAGTTTGTAGAACAACTTTTCCTTTCATGCCTATTTTACAGTTTTTCAAAGCCCTACATCTGTGTACTGTGTGTACAGGTGAA